CTTTCGGCCACATATTTGGCAGCCAGTGCTCGCTGCAAGTGGCTTTTGTACATCGCATAATACGCTTTACTTTTACTATTTGCGAAAAGGTTTTTGGTAGTGCGCTAACATGAGCCAGCAGCATAGAAAAACGAACTGGAAGTACTCTACAAAGTTGTGTGGAAAAACCTCATAAACCTTAAAGCATGATAATATGATTTACAACTGGTCCAGCTGATGTAACTAGAAGCAGTAAGCAAAGATAAATGTAAACCGAATCGATGATTGATCCTGATTAAGAATATATAGCTTTGATTGATGTTCTATGTGTCCATCCATGTCCAGACAAGGGCAAGCTCCAACTTGTAGCAGAACAACAATAACAACAGTTCGACTCATTCACTCAAAATAGCTCGCATATGAAGTGTGATATCATAAACCGCTCGCTCTCATCTCGATTGGGTCACTATCATTATCACGCACACTGGCGCAGAAGTTTCGACAATTTTGTGCAGCTCCGTGAACGCATAATCGTTGAAAACGCTTTTAATGACATAATTAGGCGTAGCTTTTGAAGGCAGTCGAGGCGCTGCGAAAGGTGTTATGGCCGCGGCGCTGGGGGAAGGGAAAAACAAAGCGACTAAGAAAACTACAGAAAATAAAAAGAAAAAATTAATTATCTGCCAGTTTGGCAGTCACAACTTGAGCAGAGCTAAATGAAAAATGTATGACAGCGGCGAGGGCAAGCTGCTGCGCGGCTGTGATGGAACGAAAAGGCATTTGGCATTTTGGCCAGGTCGCCGCCCAGGCTGATTGATTTGACCCGGCTAGACTTTCACCGGTGCGCGCGCAGTGCTCTACGCTCTCAATGCAACCACTGCCAGGCAGGCAGGCAGGCATTCAGGCAGGCGGTTCACTGGCAATCGCTGGCGTGACAGGGTAGCCCACGGCTATTCCCTGCCCCGACCTGCCCTGCCCTACCGATCGCTGGGCATTGTCTTCTCTGTTGGCTGCTTGCACATGCTCCAGCCTGAGTTTATGTATTATGATTATTCCCAATTTGGAATTACCAAAACGCATTTCGTGATGTCGTGCCCGTTGCTGCTGTAGCAGATGCCGCTGCTGCTGTGGCTGCTGGTGCGACTGATGTCATCATTCGCATTGGCATTTGGGAGCAGCCGAACACCGCAGGCCTCTGTGAAATCAATTTGTGTAATTATGTAACTGTATCTGCTGCTCCAAGCTTCACAAGCATACACACACGCACACACACACACACGTCTATCAATCAGCATTTTCGTCAACTCGCATCGCTGCTCATCAGCACCACTTGCTTCATTAACACACACGCACGCATACCTCGCTAAGCCTAAGGTATTTCTCAACCCACTGAATGATACACAAGAAAACTCTTTCCCATCAATGGTATTCAAACGAAAAAGAGCTCAAAAGCTTTCCTCTGATCTTCATTCATCGAATACCAATCAATATCGCGCATCACTTGCCAAAATCGTTAAGCATCTTGTGTTTAGAATGTCTGTCGAACAACATCAGCTGAGACTTGGTTGGCAAAGCTGCGGCTATGGCTTAGCACTCGATTTCATGGCCAACTAGCTGCGACTAATCATTGGGTATTGCGCGAGTCGCAGACACAGGCGAATACAGTTAGGTTATCTGTACATCATTTGGGCACAGCTAACGGCCAATTGGCTAACCACAAAGCCACAAAGCCAATAAGCAATGAGCCATTGCAAAAATGAAACAAATGCAAAATAGAAGCCACAATCGAATCTTGCAGCTGAAAATCAATTGGCTTCGATGAGTGAACCATTGTCAATCGTGGGCAATTGAACCGACGCGCGAGTTCAAAAACAATATCAAAGCCAAAGCCAAAGCCAAAGCCAATTGGCAATTGGCAATTGGCATTGGATTGAATGCACTCACTCGCGCATTTGAACACATTTAATTAAAATGAAATGCAACCGCTTAGTGCAGCGGCGCGCTAATGGATGGACAATAAACTTGGCTGACAAGTGGAAGTGGATGCAGCAGGTTGAATGCACTCGCAACAGCTGCTGCCACAGCAGACTTGCACCTGTTCGGCGGGTGGCTGGCTGGCTGGCTGCCTAGCTGTATGCCAAGCCATCGCCAGTTGTTACATTTGCATTTGTAGGTCAGCAGCGGCGTCGGCCATGGCCACGGCCACGTCCACAGCCTCGACCCTTAGTCTGTGCCTGCTCACCAAGTGGTTGTATTAGCTCATATGTCCATGTGGATAATATGAGGTGATCGATGCTTGGCTCAGAGTTAGTCCAAATAACATTGACTGCTTCGAATTGGCTAAAACTCGATTTGAGTCACGCTTCAAATTGTTTTCAAATTACCTAAAAAATAACTTAAAATATATTAAAAACAAATTTATAAATATATTTGGTTCATTTTAAGGAAGGAGTGCTTCAGTCGATGTCAGTCATCTACTATATAAATATATATATGTATATTCAATCATATATTAGAGTATACACATTTCCACTTGAGAAGAAAAATCATTCGAACTCCTTTAAGAATCCAACTCGTCTGCGACTCGAACTCGTCCACGACTCGAACTCGTCTTTACACAATCAAATCTAATGTATGCCATCGAGAAAAAAATGACTATTCTTAATTTCATAAAATGAAAACCTCTCACAGAATTCGAACTCGATCCAGCACAGCAAAATGAACTCGAGCAGCAACTCTCATACATATCTACAACACAATCACAGTTTGAAGACTGATCATGTTTAAATAGACATCCACCTGTATTAAGTATATGCATAAATATACATTAATTGCAGTTACCGTTTGATTCATTTAACATGGAGTTCACACAGAGATAATGCCTATGCTTGGCTTGGCGTTAGCTGCCAAGTGGTTTGGCCAATATGATTTCAACAACAATAGGACTTCAACAGTGGATCTCATTGTTGCTTTCAATATGCGATAATTGCCTAACAGACAGTCTCCCTTAACAATGTATTGACGTTATTGACTATATTTAAGATAAAGATTTGAAGTTTATATAGCTCAATCTTGTCGTGTTCAGAGTGAGCATAATCTGTGATGAAAGTATGTAAAAGATGGCGCCTTGTACGCACCAGCTAAGGCAGGCACATGGTCAAACACATATTTAAATATTAATGTCATAAGATATTCTATCTAATAAAGTCTGTTTTTTGCTATTAAATATAAATTATTTTGATATTTTATGATTTGAACTTTTGTAGCTCTAAAAACCACATCCGCTGAATGGGATGGGTCGGAAAATGAAGAGTAGAAAACTTGGCTTTAATTCTGTTAGCTATCCAAATCAGTCACATTAGCTCAAGGCATGGAGCTGGCCCGAGATAACTCGAACCAGCGCAAACTTCTGATTGCTGCTTTTGATTGGTCTTCCATAATTGATTGAAGTCAATGTCTATCGTCAGAAAGTCTGAAACCAAATGTGTTTCCACTGGAATGTTAACTGAATGCCTCTGATAATGAGCCAAGTCCAGTTGCTGCTAAGCTCTCGAACTGTGCCAGAGCAGCAAGATAAGCCACTGGAACTAATAATGGAACTAATAGACAATGGCAATCGCTCATATCATTTCTAGAGCAATACTTGTAGGTACTTGGAAAACTTGGCTTTTAATTGAAAGGTAGCTCAGAAAACAACGAGAGCAACAACAGAGACAGTCAGTGGCAGACAGCGAGTCAGACAGACTTCGGAGACAAGTAACAAATTAATTTCACTTTCTTTGCTGCATTTGTTGCTGCTGTTGCTGCTGTTGCTTGTGGCACGTTGTCTTTTTCATCACACAAAATTGGCTCGGCTGCCATTGTTAGAGAGCGGGGGACGCAACACCAGCAGCAGCCCCAAACAACAACAGCAACGAGGCTGCGCAGGTTTATTGACTGCGCGCATGCGGCAACAACAACGCTGTCTGTGGCAATTACAAACTGCTGCTGCTTGCTGCTCTGCTGCGCCTCAATGGGCCGCACTTGTCCCAGGGGGCTGGGCCCGGCCACCAGCGGCAGCGCAACATGAAAATTGCCCCAACATTGCCACAATGAGCAAACGAAGGAGCCGTCGCCAAACAGGGCGCTGCCGCAGGTTTGACACTGACACTGACTTTGACGCTGTCGCTGGCTTAGTGGCAGCTGCATTCCAAGCACTTGTGGCACACATATTTTCACCCAGCAATTAAAGTGCAGCCATATTTCATGGCACGCACAACAAGCAGCCACTGCAGCTACAATTTTACACTTAAGTTTTTGACAGTTGTTGCCAAAAATAAATCACGTTCAGTTAACTAATCAATCATACAGATCTCTCTCTAGAAGATCAATCATGGCTCGAACTCGTCAGTCAGTAAGCTTGGCAATCAGTGCTCTCTCTTAGTTATGCTTAGCTCAACAATTCACTTGATGCGCCAGTCAGTCAATCAGTTAATTTATGAAAACTCTCTTAGATGCATTCATAGTTAAGTTTACATTCAAGGCATTCCCCATGGCCCCCTCAATTTGGAAGATCATGATAGCATCCATAACAGATTATCAGATTCAGATATCCAATACCCTTGCCTAAGATGATCATCAATCAATCAATCAATCAGTTTATGAAACAAAACAAACTCTTTTGTACATATTCATGATTATATTTACATTGTTGGATTTTTATTTTCATAGCCTCCACTACACACTCTCCTCTCTCTTTCTAGAGCTAACCAGTTGAAAGATTACTATGGAGTTTACCAATACAAGTAAACTCCGTTAAGTACTTGGTAATATAAATATTTATAGCATCCACAATAGCCTCTCGCTAGAAGACCATTCGCATTACAATTCAAATTATAGCTATGAACGTATGCTAATACTGATCAATATTTCCATCCTCATACCTCCAATTATATATATATATATAATATATATAAAGATAGAGAGAGAGTGTAGATCTATATAACTAAATCTACTTTGCATAGATGTTTAGTTTCTAATGAAGTGTGTTATGTTAGTGCATATATATATTATTTTAATACTATGTCTTAAAATTGAAATACATTCGGAATGCATTTTAGTCAACATGCGCATCTGTATATATACACATTTCAAAATTAACTTCATTTGCTGCAACGTGGCTGTAGCTGGATTCTGGTCTCTGGTACATAGGATTGATTTTAATTGATCTGATAATAGGTAGGCATCGCATTTGTATTTCACAGTATAATTTCAATTTGTACACTTAATAGATTCAATTGAAAATGCATCTATGTTAAGTCATCCCCCTGTAAAACTTTGTAGGCGTTCACTACACTTATTAAAAAAGAAATCAAACGAATTATTCAAATAAAAAATAAATTAACTCCAAGGACTTAGCCATGGTTAAAAAAATGATTTCTAGTAAAATATAATATCTGTGGCTGACAGACCCGACTGGTCCGTGTCGAGTTCCAGCAGTTTTTGGACAAAATCAACCGATGGACAGCGATACGGCACCATAGTGCGTGTGGAGACCATTTCATCGAACTCCTGGGCAATGTGAGAGCGCAGCCTGATCAGCTTGGCGCCCAGCTCAGTTGACACCCGAATGCGCAGCCAGGTGTCCAGGCGCAGAATACAGTGTTCCACTTGATTGTAGCTCTCTTGCTCGTTGAACAGTAGATCCGGAACGTATGGCTCCAGTTTGACCACCTTGCCACATTGCAGCGCCACCATCAGCGTGCTGACCAGCGTGGCATGCTCAATGTGCGAAACGAGGCCAGCTGTGCGCGTCTTTTCGACGTATATTAGCCATTCGCTCATGTTGCTTCTTTGTCTTTTGGCAAAGCACAGAGGTAAACTGGAGTTTCTGGAGAGCTGCACGCGCGGATCACTCTCGTCGATGAGACGCGAATGCCTCTGATGGTCGACGTAAACAATACGTGGATAGAGGCCAGCTGTCAGCGCCAGGCGCACCATGTTCAAGTTGTTGTCATATCTCGTGGTCATTCGCATGTCGACAAATTTGATCATGCGCATTAGGGTAAGCCGCAGTGTCTGCACTGCAGAGACGAAGAGATCCATGGACTTGCGGCACAGACAGTTCTTTTCGCAGAATCTGTCCATTTCACGACTGCCCCTGGTGTCGGCGGACATATAGCCATGATATAGTTGAAGTATGCCAATCGAATCGCTAGATACGTCGAGGCTAAAGAAGTCCCGCGATTTGCGCTGCTCACTCCGTGCGGATCTATCGCTAGGCAGCACAAAGGGATCACGCACCGAGTAGTATGCGGTGATGATGCTCAGGCTACCCACGCATTGATAGTAGATGCCATAGACCAAACACTTGGCTAACTGCACGTCCAGCGGCAGTTCGGCAATGATGTGGCCCAGCTGGGTGACGCTCTCGTCCTCGTCGCGCAGCACGCCCAGCAGCTTCAGCTTGGCGCACGACTGAGCAATAGCGACTGACTGCGGTCGATCGAGGGCCTGTGACAGGAACTGCTCGATGGGCTTGTTCGGCGCGGCAATCTTGGCCAAAAGGCAGACCTCGTCGAGTGTATGACGCAATATCTCCGGCACAGTGAAGCAATTGAAGGAGTCAAACTGACTGCTGCTATACAAGCGATAGCATATACCATCCTTACGTCTGCCGGCGCGCCCGGTGCGCTGCTGGGCATCTGCCTGGGAGATCCAGGTGCAGGCCAGATGAGAGGCGCCCGTCGAAGCATCGTAGGTCTTCATCTTGACGCGACCCGTATCGATCACATACAACAGATCGGGTATAGTGATCGAAGTTTGGCCAATGTTTGTGCTGAGCACCACCTTGAGCTGCACATGCGTGTATTCGCGAAAGACATCCTTCTGCCTCTGGCTGTCGACCTGGCTGTGCAGTAGCATAACTTTGACCATATCCATCGGCAGAGCCGATTGCAACTGATCCATCAATTTGGTCATGTCTTGATAGCCAGGCAAGTAGACAATAACAGCGCCCTTCATGCCCATAAGCAGCAGCACTTGCAGCAGCGACACAATCAACGAATTGTCAATCTCTTGCTCGTTTATGTTATGGGCCAGCGCATAGGCTCTCACCAACTGCTCTCCTTCAAGGTTTTTATGATTGCCCAGCAGACGTGCCATCTGCGGCGTTAAATAGCCGGTCATATAGAGTATGTGCTCCAATGAATAGACGCGCACATTGAAGCTGCGACCCTCCACATTCAAGACGGGCGCATCGCCAAAGTATTTTGACAGCGCTATAAGATCCATAGTCGCTGACATGAGTATTACTTTGAGGTTCCTGTTCCGCTCAAGTTCTAGTTTGATGGCCAGCAGCAGAAAGTCTGTGTCCAAATCTCGATCGTGCACCTCGTCGATAACAAGATGCGTTGTATTCTCAAAGAACTCGGAACCCTTCATAGCTAATGTGCGCAGCAGGCAGCCACTTGTGGTCAGCGCCAGCACCGTGTTATTGCTGAATTTGCCTTTATGGAAGATTTGCGGTTAGATGAGATTGTGTCTCTGGGTCGCAGCAGTACTTACTCTCCATACGTATTATATAGCCCACGGTATCGCCGAGCGACTCGCCGCGCTCTTCGGCAATTCGCCCAGAGACACTAATGGCGGCAATGCGACGTGGTTGGCTAACCACAATGCGTACGGGGCTATTTGTGTCTGCCGCCTCCTCCAGCAGATACTGTGGCAATTGCGTGGACTTGCCAGATCCTGTAGCGCCATTAACAATGAGCACCTGAAGACAAATTTAATGTCATGTCATGCGCTGTCAGTTCCCATTGACGTTTGACTTACCTGCGACATCTCGAGCAGTTCGAATATTTTCTGGCGCTTATCAAATATAGGCAGCTCCTGGCGTTCAGCGGCCAGCGTTGGGTTAATGCTGCGTGGATGTGACGGTACGCGTGGCATAGCCAGCAGACCACCACTTTGGGGGATCGGTTCGCCACGTCGTTGCGGCTGCATGGGTAGTGTCCTGCGGCGGTTCAACTCTCTTAGCGCTGCGTCAAGCACACAGCCAAACTGCAAAGACACCGCTAGCTTCACTTCGTCGAGGCACATGTTTAGTCGATTGATATTGGTGCGGCTCAGCGTCAGCACCCGGTCACCAGCGTTGCTACGACTGCGCGTCTTTAGGCCATGCTGCCTAGCAAAAAGATGTACTTCTTTACGCTCCAGATTGCTCAATCCGATAATTTCCTGGCACTGCTCGTCCCCTTTTATGAAATCCAGAACAGTCTGTTGTAGCAATACTAATTCTCCAAATGTCAGCTTCTGCTGTTCAGCCTTGTTAGTTTTGTCACTATTTGATTTCGTTTTTTGTTTCGCTTTCGGCTTCGGTGTTGGTGCCGGAATAGAATCTAAGCCGTCGCCTGCATCGTTTTTTGACTTGTTTTTGTTCCGGCGAGTTCTGCCGGTCTTTGGCTTCTTATTTGTCATCCTGCAAGACTGGCAACACTTATTTTCATTTAATTTTTTATTATTTTATCAAAAGAAAACACAAACCTATGCTAGATTGTAAGCAAGGCGGCCTCAACTAAATACTATATCAGTTAGCTTATGACCGGCTGAAATCGATTGGACTTAATCGAATGCCGCTTTCGCGAATTTCGCCAATAAACTCAACAAGCTGCAGATTGTGTATGAAAGCTTTTAAGCTTTTTCTTTTTTGGCTAACAAAATGCAATTTAAATGACACTTTTATAAGCCAAGATAATGAACCTAATTTTTAAAGTGTTTTTATTAATTTTATATTTATGTATGTATGCACATACATTAAAAAAAAATGTTTCTATACTCTAAATGCATACAGTATTAAGGCAGCTAAGCGTTATTTCTTCACAAGTGCATCTATTGCTTTAGCTTTTTGTGGCTCTTCCTCGCTCTCCTCGTCACTGTCACATTCTTCCGAATCAAGATCTGATTCTCCCTCCTCGTCTTCATCATCATCATCATCATCTTCGTCGTCGTCGTTATAATCGTCGTCTTCTTCTGCGAGATTCAGCTGCTTGATCTTCTCCAGCAGTTCCTCGCGTGTGTATCTAACTCGCGTTGCCTTCTCTTGAGCTTCCCGCTCCTCCTCGTCGAGCGGTTCCTTAGTCTCCTGCTTGCGACCCTTGTCCATGAAGCGTAGGAAGGCCCGTCGCTTACGCTCTGAGAACGATTTAATTAATCTATCCATTTCGACCTGCAGCTGCTGCTCCTCCTGCGGCGTTGGCTCTGGCGCTTCTATTGCCACTTCGTCGGCGCTCTTGAGGCACTTGGCACAAACATGATCTTTGACGGCACAGTCTCGACAGATGACATGGTACGCCTTGCGGACAGTTCGCTGTTGGCAGCGGGCGCACGTCTTGGCCTGTGTGAGGGGCTTGTACTTCTTGTATTTGATTTTCCACTCGATGACCTCCTTGCAGCGTTGACACACGGTAGACACGTGCATCTTATTGAGTCGCATCTGCTGTGGCGTTTTGTCGTGCAAATCGTTTTTGAATACATGACGATTTTTGTGTTTTTGTGCACGTGTGCGACTCGCATTTCCGCGTTGTGTGCTCATGTTTCTAACTGTGAATGCGGTAAAACAGAGAATTAGCTAGCAAAAATTATTTTTTAATGTGCAGTATTTACCCTTAGCTCAGGATTTTATAAGAAACGGATCTTGTTCGGATTTGACATATAAATTTTATTCAATGTTTTGATGGAGACACGAAACTATCGATAACGCGTTACTGCTTACTCAATTTGGTTGGGCTGCTAAGCATGTGCGCGCTGGCGATTGCAGGCTGACTGCTATGTCACGAGGCGGCAATACTGAATGTTGCTTGTTCGCTTTGGGCACACTTTCATTTTCAGCTTACAAACACAAGCTCTGTGCTATATCATATACAAAGCTTTTGATTTTTTAAAATTAGCCGCGATTTAATTTGATTAGTATTATTATTTATTAAAAACTAACATATTTTTATGATTTGCTTATTATTGCAGACGGTCAGCTAGGTAACGCTCTCATGCAGACGCCATGCGCGATCTCAAGCAGCGCTTGTTCGATCTTCTGCGATCCGGCGGCATATCTGTCGGCGAGAACAACAACAATAACAATGGTAATGGCAACAACAATAAGAACAGCGTGCCACAGCCGCAGCAGCCACAGCAGCAGCTGTATTCTCCACATCTTCCCATGCCGAAACCAAAGAAGTTGCACGAATATACTGCAGCCGATTGCAATGCAGCCTTTTTGCGTAAATATCACGATCTGAGCATAAGCAGAGCGATGGAGAGAGAGCGCGAGCTGGAGCTGGAGCCGAATGGCACCTCCAATGTTATATACTTTAACGAGAACCTATCGATGACCAGCAAGTATAATGTACGTCAGTTTCCCCTGACACGATACCCCTCCTGCCCGCTGAGCAGCTTCGGGCTATCGCCTCAACGGGCGGAGGGCAGCGCGGGCAGCAGCCTGGCGGAGGATACGGAGAGCGACAGATATAATTTCTGCTCGGATGGATCGGAGGATCAGAGCAGTAATGCGCACACGCTCAAGCTGCGCTGCCACAAATTGCACCTGGACACGGATGTGGAGGTGGACGCGGAAGCCGAGGCAGAAGATGCAGACATGGATGGGGACCTCGATGACGATCATGCCGAATCACAACTCGACTCATTCTGTACGCTCTGCACCTCCACGTTCAGCTATAACAAATGCTGTCGCTTTTGCGACAATTCGCTCTGCGGCTCCAAGTGCAACTCGGAGCGCGGCTCCCATGCGAGTCGCCTCAGCTGCAGCAACCGCAACAACAATTACGGCCCTAGCGACAATGAGCTGGACTTTAATGCTCAGCAGCTGCTGCATCCGCATCATCAGCAGCGCTTTGGAGGCGCCACCAACCTGCACCAGCCAATTGTGGCAACAGCAACTGCTATCAGGTATAGTTAACTATGCTTTACACGCTATACTTTTTTCTAATGCCGAATATTTAATACCTACGCTTTTATATATAAGCTTAATAATGTCAAAGACTATAATAACATAAATAACTTTCAATGAACTTGCCGCAAGAGTCTTTAATCATGCACCAATTATCAAATTATTCGAATCAAGCTAATGATAATTAGCAATAATTCAGTTGCTAATGAAGTGTTCGAGATGGATTCAATTGCAATGGGCAATCAGCTGGCTGATTGTGTTTGATTGAAAGATCAACAAACCAACTGCAAACTGAACTAAAGTCAAATGAACCGAACAAAGTCGAGCTGAATTGTGAGCGAGCTGGAACTGAAACTGAGTCCGAGGCAAAAATCCAATGCGACGATGAAAGAGATTTTGGTAGTGCATGAAAATATATATGGATATATGCATAAGTGCCTATTGGTATTTATGTAAGTGGAATATGTATCTTTAGCATGACTATAAGCAGAAGAAGAAGAAGAAACGCCAGTTCCGTTAGACAGCGAGCCAAACAATGGCTGCTAAGCTGCTGCCTAGAAGCGCATGACGCGGCTGTGGCTATAAAAAGCATTCAAAAACATAAACTCGATTGAATAAAGTTAGCTGAACAAGTAACAGTGCTTCAGCCGAAAAGTGATTGATATCCAGATACCCTGTATCAGGTGGTAATGACATATGTTAGTACCTCTATAACTTTTTGGGCAAATCACAGGAAATGCAGTTGAAACTCAAATTTCTTAAGCTTGTAAATATCTTTTGCGTTGAACAAGGTTCTTTGAGCTTATTTTCATTTGTTACGCTACTTACTATATACCCATTACGACAAATGCATAGGGTATGGGGTATAGTTTAAGATAAAAATTTCGAAAAACGTAAAAAAGAGAGCGCGCAGAAGCCAGAAAAAGCCCACAGTGTGCAAAAAGCGCATCGACGCATCACAAATACACACACATACACACATGCACACATATGCAGATACAAAGTAGCCACAACAATAATAACAACAAATATTCAATGTAAACAAACAAGCAAAAGCTTTCGAGCTTTCACGGCTGCCGCTACGACGTTAACGCTTTGAGCGCAGAAAGCAGCAGCAACACTGGCAGCGGCAGCGGCGGCTTTTACATTTCTTTGGCGACCGGTGGCCAAAGCTGGAGTCAGAGTCGAAGTCGAAGTCGAACTCGAAGTCGAAATCGGAGACTCGCAGACCGCAGACTAAAAGATTCAAGACTTAAACAAGCGTCGACCATTGTTCACATAGCACGTGCCGCGCGCGCGTCTCTCTTTCAACTGCGATTCTCGCCGGCAGCAACAAACAGTTAACACAAATTAACCGTTGCCTCAAAATGTTGCATCAATTGTGTTAGTTAGGCGTGCATATCTGCTGGTACTATACGTTATTGTTATTATTTTTTATTGGTGCATTATCTTTTTTTGGTTTGTATGTTGCAAAATCGCGGATCAAACGCTTTCGATATTTGTATAGCTTGAGCTATACATGCACATGTATTTGTGTGCATGTGTGAGAGAGATAGTGCGAGTACGTGTGTGTGCGTGTGTGTGTTGTGTCTACGCGCTGTACGTCAAGTTGCAAGCTTATCTCTAACATCTTTGGATAAGGAAATTATTTTGAGTAAGTAGCAGTTCGATAATATTTTGAATAAGTAATTTCATAGATAATAAACAAGTTATCGAAACTATTTAGAAACACAAATATGAAATTAACTTAATTACTATACAAGACAAAGTCCAATTAAATATTGGCAATGTATCGATCTTTATCGATTGCATAAGCAATATTTGTTGATTATGAAAAACATTAACATAAAATACACACATGCACATATATCTATACATATTTATATATATATATATAAATATACAAAATCAGATAAAGATCCAACTCATCTATAAATATTTTGAATCTCTCAGAACTTAATGATTTTCCGTTGGCTTTATAAAAGTGAAAGTTATTGAAATTGTTATAATTCACTTAAAATGATCTCCAAAGGCGTGTCAGGCAGAGTTTTCGGACATACAATTAGCCATAAGGCTATACATCTCTCTTACCAATATGTGATGGAGCCACAAGCTGTGATAATTGCACTGGAGATAGGGAGAGAGAGATTCGAGTTTGATAATCAAGCATAAATCGAAGAGAATTTATAATTTGTTTTTGATTTCTAAATCGAATGTGTTATAATACAATATCAGATCTATCCTACATATCCCAGAATCACAATATACTATAACAGTAATTGATATAGAGTGCACCAAATGCCACAATAGATCAAAGAATTCCTAGTCAAGTCACATACTATTTATTAACAGTTCTGAGTACTGTATGCCATATGCCATACTCTAGATCACTTGATACTAATCCGAATGCTAAAATAAACAACGCAATGCCCTAGCTCTACTGTATACCAGCTGCTGTACCTCTGAAATCGTATCATTAGGTTTACTACTATATCATATCGTAGTTGCCTCACACTATGCTATTTCAGTCTATATACTATATATATATATGAACGAGCAGCTATCCATATCCATGTTTACCGATGTGATCAGAGCGCGGCGCTGTAGAATTCGAAAAGCGCATTAAATTGTATTTTGTTTCGGTGTTGCACACGCCTGTTGCCTGTTGCTCGCCGCCGTGGCTAACCACCCGCCATTACCACTTGCCACCTGCCACCTGCCACCTGCCAGCTGGCACAAGCCACTCGACTTGGTCTTAGCGATTATTTCTTTAGACATAGACGTGAAATACTTACTTTAATTATTTCTCTTTCTTTCGTTATTGTTGTTGTTGCAGCAGTTATTGCCACATTTGAAATTGTTGTTGTTGCCCTAGAAGTAAACTCAAGCTTGCAGAATATAATTTAATTTTATTTATTTACCTTTTTTTTGGCAACAACGAAATAATAATAATAACAATCATACGCCAGATAACGGCTCCAAAGGGAATTTCTCCAAGCAAAACTTTCAAATGCAAAACACAAAGATAAAAGCTTGAGCGCAGATAAGAAAGAAAACCTAATAAAAGTTTCTTAATTAAGATACTTTGAAGTGGAGCTGAACAGATTGTTCATGAATGTGTTGTGGCACACTTAGATTAATGATACAGCGATTGTAGCACTATATATTTATATATATATTTTTGTTTATAATTTTATTGGACTGAAGTCGAGTTAAACCAAGCCGACAGCTCTCAAAAGCTAGCATTATTCTCGATAAAGCACTGCAAACGTGACTAGATTAGGGTAGAGCGCTATATGACAAACATATTTTAGTGTTATTTAAATTACTATTTTTTGATTAATTCTGATTTGATTAGAGCATAACTTAAAGAAATCAAGCTGTTCGCTTAGCTTAATGCTTGTAAAGAATAATTTTGCTAAGCTAGACTCAGCTACTTGACATAAGTAATTTATAGTAATTTATAGCTTCGACGTGCGGAATATTTCCATTATTTGTATTTCATTTCCTTAACAGTAAATTCACTTAAGAGATTTTATGAATTTTAAAATTTTCTTGAATTTCTAGAATCATTTAAAATTTCATAGAAGAGATAAGATAGAGAAGCTAAAGCCAAGTTTAAATGCTAAATTAGAGATTTGTGCTGGAAAATGAAAACGTGACATGAAGGGAAATATAAATTAACTATTAATGATAATAATAATGTTTAGATTGATATATATATATATCTAAATCCATATACATATATAGAGTGAAAGAGAGAGAGAGAGAGAGAGAGAGAGACAGCGAGAGATAGAGAAAGAAATATATAAAGTGTTAGATAAAATATATAATATATATAAATATATATATATATTTATATATATCGTTTTCTATCTCTCTGTCTCCCTCTCTCTCTATATATAAGCTCTATACATTTCACCTATCTCTTTATATATATAGCGTGAGAGAGATAGAGATAGATGGTTATATCTATAAAGATTAGATGTAAGATATAGCGTCTATGTGTCTGGCCAAAGCCTTTTCAATTAGGGTCTAAAGCTGTGCAGCCACAATTCGCCGTGCAACGCGAATCGCATAACGCATTGCAAGTTGCGCGTTGCGCGTTGCGCGTTGCAGTCCATTCAACTTGCGTGCAGCAGACACATGGAAATTAAAAAGAAAACAAAAAGAAGAAAATGAAAGAGAAAAATGTGTATATAAGTCGGGGATTAGGCAAACGCAATCACACAAGATAAATGGCCAAAAGTGGCAAATGGCCAACTGGCCAAATGGGCTGGTCTTAACGTGTATTTAGTTATTATTTTTCGCCTTGCCTGGCGCTAATTAGCGACGCTCTCTGATCGAAATCTGGAAAGCATGCAGCTTAAATGATATTTATATAAATAAATAATAAATATAAATAAAAAATGCCAGCGTTGAGAGTCGAAGAAAAAGTGAAATTTTTGTTGCCTGCAACCCGTTTTGGCCCGGACCGCAGCGCCTGCCGAGCCACACCCCCTTGCTGCGGCTGACCCCCTCCCACTGACTACCTCCTGGCCCTGGCCATCCTTTTGCTTTCATTGAAGCCGCGGCGCGGGCGATGGCTATTAGCCATAAGCGCGTTGAGCAAATCTTTCGGTCAACAACCGGCCCAGGTCTGTGGCGGCTGCAGTTGTTGCTGCTGCTGTTGTTGCACTTGTTGCTGCTGCAACTTTCCACCAATGTCAATTAAGTATTAAGGCAAAGCGTTTACATGCGACATTTTCAACTCGGCTGACTAGAAATCGCCGCCGTTGTCGTTGTTGTTGTTGTTGTTGTTGTTGTTGTTGTTGTCGTTGCTGATGTTCATGTGTTTGGCTTTTCATTTTCCATATTAAAACGCAACGCTCAACAGGTTTTCCCAAGCAGCCGCTGTCATAATTGGTCATTTGTTCACCCGGTTTTGCTAATCCAAGCAACAGAAATTGGCCAACCTCAGATCGAAGTGAGATTTATTTATAGCTTATTCCTGAATTATTGTTTATTGAATATTAGGTTTTATAAATATTTGTTATCTAAGAAGGAATTAATGTAAAGGCTACACAATACTCTTTCTCGGACCAACTACAGCGAAATTGATTTTGCAAGTCTATTTTTCAATTTGCCACGCCCCGATGGGCGCAGCATAGCTCTATTGATAGAGCAATTTGTATGCACATATTTATAAGTATATAGTCTTCAGGCGAGCAGCAGAGAAGCCCAGTCTTAAATGGCCTGGCTCATTTTGGTATTAAGGTCTTACAACTATGGATGATATAGTTTTTCCCAATCCTAATGATTTATTATCTGAATCGCTATATGACGTTGTCAAATATTTCGCGCTGCAAACAATGCGAACAGACGAAGATAGAGGTTGACGAACATTGCACAAAGCCAATATGCCCCTTTCACTTTTTGAACGTGTACAAAGGGCGCAAGCCAACAGAGTTGAAGACCTCTTCACAAATGCCTTTTAAATATACCAAAAATACTAAACAAAATACTAAAAAGTAAAAGTTGCATCAGAATATTTTGTCGCCAGCTGAATTTAGTTTAATTTGCTCAGAG